GTAATTTATTAGCTAAATGTATGGAGTGCGAGAGTGTGCGCCGTGTGTATAGGATGCATGGGGTTAGGCTAAACTAAAGGAATTAAAATTTTGAGAGCATATTTAAAGAGAAAATATTTTTTTCTGAACATTGACAAATGACTAATTTCCTAACATCTGCAAAATGTGTTGAGTTTCGTTATTTAAACAAAAATTATAGCCTGCTAGTAAAGCATATAAAAGGAAAAATCCGGATTTTGAGGTTTCGTATATTCATGTATATAAAAGCAAGTAAGAAACTCACCTGTTTGTATACGCGGTCTTTCGTCTGATTTGTCAACCTTTTAATTTATCTGTTTACGTTTGCCCTAAAATATCCGATTAAATTAAATTAATTATGTATACTTTGCCAAAATTTTAATTCCTTCAGTTTTAAGGGTGGGCAGTTCGGGCTGGTGGCAGGTTGGGCAGTTGTGAGTGTCTGTGTGATGTGAGGAAAGCGGAAGTTACGAATGGAATGCAGGCAGCTTAGGACCAAGGCAGACAGCTTAGGACTGAGGCAGACAGCTTAGGACTGAGGCAGACAGCTTAGGATTGAGGCAGGTAGGCAGTTGGTAGGAATCAGTGGGGGGCACTTGTCATTTCGGCCATGGGATTCAAAATTTGCATGTCGAGTATTTGTTACTAATTGCTTGTTGTTTTACATTATTTGCCAGGTATGCGCGTGGCTGCTCTCAAGAGAAGATCGACTTAGCAATTTGCATTATTTTGCATTTGCAAGGTTGGTCTTCTCTTCGCCTCGCTACCCCGGCTGGCTCTCCGAGTGCTACCTCTACTTTAAGTAGAAGTACTTTTACTATATAGTAGAAGTACTTCTGCTAGAAGTAGAGGTGGCACTTGGGGAGCCGGCCGGGGTGGGGAAAATTTTTTTTATTTTTTTTTTCAATTCCCATGGGAATTGAATATTTAATTAAAAAGGAGTCTCTTGTATAATTAATGAACAATTTATTGAAAAGAATGTAATTACAAATTGAATAACAATAAAAAGAGAACAACCACTGCATACGTATTTAAATAACAATAGAAGAAAACAGAACATGGCACAAAGAGAACAACTAACATTGTGTTCAACACAAGTGAATAAGCACAAGTGAAAACACAACATTAAAAAAACTTGTTTGCCCGCAAATTAACATTAAAAAGTTAATTCTTGAGGAAACAAGAGAACCTGGTCTTTTCAAGATAAATGTTTATACTTCAAAATAAATATTGTAAAACAACTCTAATGATAATTTTTTCGAATTTGACCGACAAATCCAAAGCGTCGCACCAGGTTGTTTTACAAGGAAAATATATGGCTCAAAGACAAAGTCAATCGAACATGCTTTTACTTTTTTTTAATACAACTAATTGTTTTTGGTAAAGTGACCAAAATGTTCACTTGAGTATGAAAATCATCGCGATGTTTAGATGCTAAGAGAAGTCCATTCGTTGTAATGCGAGATCAGTTGTCAACAAATTCTATTGCTTGAATTAGCAAATTAATTTCCTCAAAGTGCCTTAACATTTTCACAATGCATTAAAGATGCGGTACAGTCCGTATGTAAACAAAGGCTTTGTTTACATTTCGCTATCCAAAATATTGAATTTTATTCGACAACTATTTATATTTTCATGTTTCTAGAGTATAATAAATTATCAAGAGACAACAATCAAGCTTTGCAAGAACAAAATGAAATAAAAACCTAAATAAACGGTTTGTAAATAAAAAGAGGGCTCCTTTGTGCACATGCAAAGATCGGACTGTACCGCATCTTTAACAACATACTTCATTAAACTCAGAAATGATATTTTTAAACATCGAAACATTACGACTAGATCATTGGTTCCATACTCAATTGAACATTAATATATAAGAACATTTCTTTCAAGTGCCAAACCAGGAAATATTTAAGAATTTGAAATTATCCTGGTCTTTCGGAGCCATATATCTTTGAGAGTCGTTTTTAACCTGACAGCTTTGAATTGATTATATATAATGTTAATACTAATTAAAGTGATGAAAATACAGTTTCACAACAAAATTTTAAAAGAATGTTATTTCTCCAATTCTGATTGATTTTTCAAACAAAAATTCAGTTTCAATTTGCTTTGCTTAAACTGGTACATTTCTCGTCCTATCGATAAATACAACAAGATAATACACATTGATCCACTATTTTACAAACAAACATCTCCTAAAGTTCACTTAGGGAAAAAATTGTCCTGTTTTATATCATTTGACATTTATATCATTTACAAAAAATGCTTCGGGAAATTTTTCTGACGCAAAACATGTAGCGATGTACAGAAACACACAAAATATGGTTGAACCAAACTTTCAAATGTTCATAAAATATTTTCTTATTCTTTTTACACTTTTACTTATTTTGGTCAAAACCAAACAGAAATTTTCAATTGGAAAAGAGCTTATGGCTTTGCATAATGAAAAAACAGGAAAAAAGTTTTTGGTATACTTTGTTATTTCAAAAGTAGACAAACAGTTTTGCTCAAGTCGTCACAAGGAACAATCAGTTTCCATACAATCCTTAGAATCCCTCTCAACAAACAAAATATCATATTGCATTTTCATCAATTTCTAGTCTCAATATGAGCAAACCAAACACAAACATCAAAAGACATATACAGTAGTAGCTGTTGTTGATTGAACATATGAAATTTCATTTTTAGTTAATTTTGAACAGCATTCTTGTCAGGTTAAAACAGACCTTTTTGAAGTATAAACTTACCTTTACATACTCGCTGAAAAGACCATGTTCGAGTGCCATGTAAACCTGTTTGCTTATATTATTATTATGACTATTATAACACACCATTACAAAGTGGAACTATTTGAAAATAATGTTGAACTGAAGCAAAAGAAATACATGTAAATATAGAAAACTAACAAATTAATTTTAATTGCCAAACAATTATTAACCACAACCAGCCAATAAAAATTTAAAATCTTGTCATCTCAGTTAGTATGCAAAGCAAAGTACGAAATTAGTTAATTGAATCGGATTAAAAAATCAAAATAAAATATGAAATTCAAGCTTAAAAATTTCACACTTAAAATAAATTAGGATTTATCATAGGTCAATCAGATTATTTAAAATAAAAATATTTTTAAATCTAGAACTTTTTATTCAGATTATAAAATCTGGTACATAAAGAGCATCTCAGTATTGGCTATTGCATATCTTGTGTTTGATGAAACACACACAAATTTTGATGAATACTAAAAATATGGCTAGTTCCATGCTTGAATTTTCATTCAAATCTTATCAAATTATGCATTGATTAACACATACATGTAGGACCAAGAATTGTCAATCTTATCTTCAGCCTCAATATTCCAATTATTGGATGGCTTTACCAAACATTTACTGTAATATATACTTTTCATTGCTGATTGTTTTTCCGCCATTGCTGATTATTTTAATTTTATTTTCTCCATCTCACATTACCCCAAAATTAAGTATAGTTTGCTGCTTCAGTTCACCCATATCCAAATAAGTTCCACTTTGTAATTATAAGTAAAGACAACATATCCTAGCTAATTATTTCGACCTTAACTGTTTGTTTTTTAAAGTTGGGAAAGGTTTTTTAAAAATCACAAAGTTTGTTCCAAAATTCAAATTTTGTTTAAAACCACAATGTGGTTGGCACTAGAATAAAAAAAAAACAACTGAAGAACACAACCCTCCTATAAGTCAGTACTGTATAAAACTGCCTTGTTCCTCAACAAATCCATTTTATTTGCATCCAGGAATAATCAAACTCATGTATTAAGAGTGTGCTGGGATAAATAAGACAAAACTATTAAACAACAAGGCAGTTCTAATTTTAAAAGTATTGTATACTTCAATAGTTCAATTGATCACTAATTGCTTTTTGTAACATTCAATATTTGAAAACCTCCAGAATCAACATTGAATGAAAGATTGTGATTTTCAGACAAACTTTCCAAACTTTCAACAAACACTGAAAGTCCACTTAAACAAGAGAAGATTGAGATGGGATGCAAGCTTACTGTTTTTACAATTGCACTTTGACAAGTTCAAAACACAAATTATGATGAGACAAATGTTCATCAATGTTCTTTTAATCCTTTAAAACATATTCCAAATTAATACCGAAACATGAAAGATGACTAAGTCACACGTCTTATTTGTTTGTAAGAAACCAAAGTGGTTTGTAATAAAAACCACATCAATCTTCTCAATGTTTAACTGATGTAACAAAGTCAAATACTGACAAACTTTTCATTTTTTTTTTACATTTGACAAAAACTTCGAAAATATGTAGAAACAACTATGTTCTCAGATAGAACACAGATAAACTCAAAATCATCACTGTTTAATTAAACAATTTTTTTTAAAACACAAAGAGTTTGTCATTTTCTGGCTTGCCCATATGTTTATATGCTTTGAAAATTATATAATCAAGTAATGAAGGGACCACAAAACTGAAATTTTCCAAATTAATACAAGTCGAAATAGCGGTGTACTTACTAATAGAATAAAAAAAGTGCAATTATTGTGCACTCGCAATATTTAGGCGTAAAGATTGTGTTTATTATTTTTGTCGTTATTTTGTGTCATAATAGTAACATGGTCATGCTATTTTTGCAATATTCTACTGGGATTTTTTGAAACTATTGATCACAAGCAATCATACAATGTTCAAAACATTTCATGTAAGATAAGACAGGAAAATATCAAGACCTTTTATATACTTTTCAATGACAGCATTTACTTTTGGGATCAAAAGCACTTCGGCCAACAACTTGAGACATTCTTTGAAATTGCAACACACATCTAGAAAATTTAAAAACTCACCATTAAGAACATGAAACAAATTAATATATTACAAAGAAAATTGTCAAACAAATACAAGAAGGAGGTTAGAAATAATTAGAAGAAAAATAATTTACCTCTTATATAAATTTCAGGATCTTGGAATGTGTACAATAAATTTTGATAATCATGAGATCTTGTGACATTCTTGGAACTTGCATTGTATATCTACAAAAATTTATGAAAATTTTACTGAGGGTGTGAATAGCTTGGCTAGCGGGATGAAAAAATCATATTTTCTTTGCTCTATTAATGTTTTTTTTCTAGATGTTGGGTTGTTTACCACAGTTATTGCTTCTTGAAATGTTTATATGTTGTGACAATGCCGACTGATAGAATTTGATTGGAAGTCTTTTTTCAACTTCATTTTGACTCCAGGCATCTGCTGTACCAGTAAATCAAGTTAATATGCCTTTAAATTTAACAAATACTGTCCTTTCTATTTTTTAGCACTCTCTAAATCCTTGCCAGCCGGCCCAGCCCATGTTGAAAAAAGGCTTTACACTGCTACTGTTCAAACCATGCTCAGCCCACAAACTTTAAATTAGGCCCCATTTACATGAGATTGGAACAAAGTCAAACCAGGACCATTTCGTTTCAGTCATAGTATTATTTATAATAGATAAACATACATGTGACCTGGACGAAAATAACTCAGACAGGTCTCAAGTCATGCATTCCGCCTGCTGGATCGACCCGACTGACTTCAGACCAGGATGAATGTAAACACAAATACATTCAGACCGGTCTCAGCTGTAATTAACCTTGACATTGGAACCAACACATGCTAACAAAAACCATCTAAAAAAGAAAATTGCCTGGCAAGGGGAATAAATTGAAAATTTTGTGATTTTCGTGCCAGTGTCATGTAAACATGTTGACAATTTCAATTTTCATTCCAATTTGACTTCGTCCCGGTCTCATGCAAACAGGGCCTTAATCTTACTAGCCCGCTTACCGAAAAGCCTCACCTATCAAAATTCAAACCAGCTGTGACGGCGAGGTAAAGAAACACAATTATTTTTAATTAATTATAATTTTAATTATTTGTAATGTTGAACAAACACAACATATATAATGTTGAAATATTTTGTTGTAAGATTGAAATGCATGTACAACAAGCTGATGAACTGAAATATTCGTCTCACCATTGAAGCGCCTCCTCTCTTTTTAATATATGGGGCCATTCCATTTAATGTACACACCCCCCTGTGGACGAAGTCAATAAAATTTGAACCCCTAAGAAAAAAAGATCAAAGTGCCGACACAAACACCCCTTCAGAAATTAAGAAATTTTTGCCTTACCCCTCGGAAAAA